ATTGGTACTGTCCAAGGACCCCTTCCTCCTCCTCTATGTCGACGCTGCAATGGCAGGAAGCTTATGGCTGAGGGTACGCTGTCCCCACCTGCCTGTATTTGGAGTTCTGCTCAATGTTTTAACACTGCAATGTGACGTCATCATCAACAAATGTTTCTGGTCGCATTTTTAGCTACCCTGGGATGCCTAAGGCCATGGTTAGACACGCAAGAAGCACTCATATTGTAGAGTGCTATTTTTAGTTTCTATAAATTATATTTTCTTCTTCTTTTTTACTTGAATGTATCAGGTTATTTTGGTTTTATTGCCTTTTTCTCATAGATTTTGTCCTTGTGTTCATTTAATTTGTGAGACTTAAAAAAAAAAATTAGTTTCCAGGCTGCTCTTCAATTCGCCATATAGCTGAGGCTGGACTTGAATTCCTGATCCTTTTGCCTCCACTGCCCAAATGCTGGTCTTGTTTTCTTGCTGGACACACCTGTTTTATTATCTACACCTGATGATACCTCTAGCTGGAGTCTAGTCTCTGGTCCTTTTGCTTTTCCCAAGGTGCGTGGTCCATTTGGACTGTCTGCCATTCAATTTCGTGGTCATCCGTGTGAACAATCAGAAACCCATCCGAGGGATACTCTTCTTAGTAGCCTTGTGTTTGCCTTTTCAGGGCCCGATGACACGTTTTCCAACTGCGCACAGTGTTGTGCCCTGTAGCTTTAGTAAACTGGGAGGCTGCCACGAGAGAGAGTGTCTAGGAGTCTAAGAACAAGCCTGGGCAAAAAGCTGGTGAGGTGAAAGCCATAATCCTAGCTGCCCTTCAGTCTATGTCTTTATATTGTAATTAAAAACGTGTACTCTATGGCCGACAATGACTAATGCATTGGTGGATAACAAAAATCGTTGCATTTTGCAGTCTGCAGCTGCCAGGTTTGGTGGTGCATACCAATGCTTGTAAGGCAGACGTAGGTAGATTTCTGTTGAGTTCAGGCAAGGTCAGCCTGGCCTAACCCTGAGCCTACATAATCAGGGCTATGTAAAGAGACCCTGTTTCAAAATAAACAAAAAGAAGACTGTATCTACGCTGCGTAGCATCTTAGATTCACAGAGCAGTTTGCACAAGAATTCTCGTTTCTTCCCATCCACTGATGGCTGCGCCTGCAACTACCAGCCATTGACGCTCCCAAGAGTTCCAGTTCTTCCTACTTCCGCGGTGAGACTCATCCTCGCTCAACTCTGCCCCTACTTCAGCAAATACCACCACCTGATCCTATTAGTATACTCTCCCGAGCCCCTTTAAAACCCATCCTGTTCCTTACAATCCACCAGCCCAAATTCTCCACATTTCTCCACTGAAAGTAGAGGTCCTTTTTCTGCTGGCAGAGGCTCATGTATGACGGCGGCCCCTCCAGAATCGCGTCTCCTCCCTCCTGGATGCAGAGCACTGCCTCCTGACTCCTCTGTGAGAATGTGATCTCTTTCTGCTCCCTTTCTGAACCCGATACACACGAGTTCAGTTGTCTTCAGTTCCTTCAAGGCCATCGCCCTGTGGGCAGTGTTGTAGCAAGGAGCTCTCGGAGGGCAATGTTGTCCTAGCTGCTCCTGACCACTGGGGCCTGGCACAGTAAGTGACACAGAATAAATGTCCTACTATGTTCTTTTTCCATTTGGTGTGAACCAACCTTAGACTTTTGTAAGAAGGTGAAGGTTAAGAATAGCCGGGGCACGAGAATGTTAAGTTTTAATACAGGCTCATGGTGATCCCTGTGTGCAATAAACCCTTCACATGGGCTGTGGTGGAATTTCTCATTTAAAAAAAAAAAAACGCTACAATTCAAAATATTCAATTTCCTCTGTAAGATCTGATCATGTTGGAAGGCACAGCCCCTTCTCAGCTCTGTGGCCACAAGCCTTTCATCACCCCGAGAAAGGAGATCTGTCTTGGGCCTTCTACCTTCTTCTGTGCTACTACTGGCCCTGTCCCATACAGCATTCTCATTGTTTTTCGAATGAGGCTTGTGGTCTCCTGAACCCAAACCCTTGCCCTGTCTCTGCCACCCGCAACTTCACACTTTCAGGACACAGAGTCCTTCTCTTGCCTCCCCTAACCGGTTCCCAATAATTTAATGACTGGGTTTCACACCGCTGGCTGAGCGCCCCATTTGGTTGATAGGGTGCTCTTGGTTTTTTAGCCCCGAGGTCTGGCAGCCTCCTCTTTTCTAGCTTTCTCTGGCCCAGTCAGCTGACTGATAGAGCCTTTGCCTCTCCCCTGTGGATGCTGGCCCAGCCCAGGAGGGAGTTCCTCCCTGCCATTCCTCTCTCCTTAGCTTTGGCTGGATCACACTGGCTGGCCCACAGAAGGGGATATGAAGTTAACTTTTTCAGTAAATCTTCCCTCTGGACCCTTCAAGATAGAACAATCATTTGTTCCCATAGATAAGCTGTGAATCCAAATGCTTAAAAAATTGAAACCAGATTAATAAAGCCATAGCAGCTGCCAGTATCTTAGAATTCTAGGTGGAGTTTCGCCCCTGGAAGGTCTCAAGGCTTTGGGAAAATAGGAACGCCTAGGCTGGGAACTCGTACCAAATAAAATATTAGTTTAGCCTGTAGAATATGTGTGCACTCTTGTTTAGTTTCAGGTCAATAATTTTAATTACTGCTTTTCAGTTAACAATTCAAAGAGTAGAGAGAGAGAAAACCAGATGCTGTCTTCTTGACACATGTGAAACCTTCACGGCTTTAAATCAGCAGAAAAAACAACATCGAGAGCAGAGAACTTAATACTTTGTAACTGCAGACAACACTAAAATAGACTTCACAGCCTAATATTAATTAAATCGAATAATTGCTGAGCACACAATAATTGAACAGATCACCCACTGTCTCTGTGCTCTTGGTTTGTTTGGACCCAGGCTATTTAGTAGCCATTTTCTAATCTGTGCTGGGAATGTCCATGAATTGTTTGGGTCGGACACAGCACAGAATATAGACTTCAGCACCCTGGTTCCCTTTTCCATGAGGGTGTGTCTCCTGGCCCTGCACCCTGGGCTGTCAAACATCAGGGCAGGTGGGCTGGTGATCTCACCAGTTGAAGGGCTTGTCAGAAGTCTGAGGCTGTGCCCCAGAAAATAGCTGTTTAGTGAGCCTCCAGTTTCATGTGGGGAGACGATGGGCAGTAGAGGAGGCAGAATCAAGGCCTGGTCAAGACACCCATGTCCTGACCCTGGAACCTGTAACTTTGGAATCTCATGTGCAGAGGTTTAGGGGGAAGTGGTACTCAGCTGACTTGAAGAAAGATAATATCCCAGATTACCAGGTAGGCTGTGTACTGACAAGGGTCCTCGACTGAGGATGGGTGGGGGGGCCTGGGAATGAGAATCAGAGTGGGGTGAATGGGCAAAGACCCAACTTTACTGTGACTAAGGTGGAGCAAAGGCCAAGGCGTAGAAGTGGAAACCCATCACCCAGAAAAAATGCAGGGCAATGGTTTCTCCGCAGGGCTCCGAAAAGGAGACAGTTCTGCTGGCACCTTATTTTGGGAAATTCTTCCCCACCTCCTGGAAACCTAAGAACTTTGGCTTTGACTACAGGTGGCTGAATTTTGCATTTCAAAATCATCAGAAGTATTCCTGGACAAATATTACAGCATTACCAGATCAACCACGGTCTAAGTTACTGCTGTCCCAGAACTTCACTGTATAGTGCAGATAAAAATCTGTGTGGTGGACTATAGTAAAATTGTGTGATTTTGTAGTTTTATTTTGTATTATAAATATTTCTTCCACTGTCCTGTTTTTCATAATTATCAGTGCTGCTCAACATTTTACCAGATTGATTTCTAATAATCATTTTTTTTTTTCTGGGCATCCATTTCTTTTCAGTATAATTAATGTTTGCTGGTGAGCACTGCTAGAGTGAACATCACTGGTGGGATGAAAAGTGTTGTCAACTTGACAGAATTTAGGATTTCCTGGGAGCCGGACCTCTGGGCATGCCTGCGTAGATGATCTTGATTAGGTTAAATCAAGGAGTACCCACCAAGGCAGATGGCACTGTTCCCTAGGTATGGTCCTAGACTGCACAAGTGGTGAAGGGGGCTGAGCAGCAGCAGCAAGCGCTCAGTGCACTGTGCTCCTGACTATGGACGGCATGTCATGTGGCCAGCTGCTTCAGGCTCCAGCTGTCCTGTCTTCCCTGTGATGCTGGACTATACTTGTACTGTTGTGGAATAAACACTTTCTCCCTAAAATTGAAGTTGTAGGGGTATTTTACCAAAGCAACAGGGGATTAAAGAAGTACATGCAACGTGTCTTCTCTTGGAAGATTTTTATTACAATCCAAGCACATGGATCCAGGACATAAATACCTTTGCTTCCACGGTGATCAAGAAATTGCTTCCTCCAGTCGTCATGCCAGAGGCTGGGGATGCAGCTTAGTGTCACAGTGTTTGCTTGCTCAACATGCAGGAGGTGCTAGGCTTGATTTCCACGTGTGAAAGTCAAGAACCGTGTCAATTTCTCAAGCCCCCAGCAGTGTAGTGCGCACACCCAGCCTTGTTAAGCACAGGCAGCTAACTTTCAAAATTGTCGGCTCACTGTCTTCAAGTGAGCAAGTAATGGCTTCCGATGACCAAAGAGATAGGAGATGCTCACTTTGGGGCTTTTATATTTATTTTGACACATAGGAGATGATAGTCTTTGGGATTTTATATTGATTGTGATGCATGAAAGTAACTTGAATTGCAGAATCTCAAAGGATTGTTAAGAAAAAGTAAAAAATCTACCCAATTCAACCATAACATTAGGAATAATGTTACAAAGGGGCTGGTGGTAATTTAACCCACTTAATACATTCCTGAAGTCATGCTAGAGAACCTCCTCTGACGGCACGAGACAGCTTCTGGTTGGGGTTGGTTGTCAGAAAGATCAGCTACATGTGTGGAGGGTGAGATTTCAATGGCCATGAGCTCCAGCAGGGGGAGTTGAGTGAAGGACTGGAGACCGAAGGCAATTGATCAAGGATTTAATCAGCCAAGTCTGCATTAGGTCACATAAGGGGTTACCACTTGTGTACAAACAGGTTAATGGTTTTACACATGCAAACAGGGAGGGGACAGCAACTTGCTCTTGATGCTGACCTTCAGCTGGAAGCCTACAAGGGAACACAACCATATAGAATTGTACACCTGTGAAATCTGGCTACTGACAGATTTATACATGCTTTCCTTTTGTCTTGCTTTGACTTCCACCCTAACTCTTTGCAGTGAACATCCTTGTCTTCCTTTGCTTCTCAGGACGATGCTTTGTCCCTCTCAGGGCCTGGATGTGATATAGGCTTGCACTTTCCCAATGACCAACAGAACTGGGAGAGTCCAAAGTTCACAGTGCACGAATAACTTAGGGAATATTTGAACAAGTCATTTTTGGGAATCCTAGTGTCTTCTTGGTGTATCCTCGTGTGGCGGGGGAAGCAAAGAGCTTGCCCTAAGTGTCTTTTTTTAAGAGTTTCATGACCTGGTCACTTCTCTAAAACCTCTTAACACTATCTGGGAGTGGTGACTTCAAGCTATGGATTTGTGATGAAAAACAGAATTATTCAGATTATAGAAGAGGGAGACAATGATAAATGGGGTATTTCTCATTTTCATTTGATCTACTTCTTCCAAGGCGCTTGAACTGCTGGATCACCCAGTACACATGACACCGCAAATTGCTTTAGATTTCAGAGGGCCGTTCCCACTGGGCTTCATTCCTTGACTTTATTCAGGGGATGGATAACAAAGCGGTTAACAGCCATGCCACAGAATACTGTTTGGCAACAAAGAGGAATTGTCTGCTGACATGCAAGACATGAATGAATCATCAGAGCATTAATTACATGGTGAAAAGAAAGACCAATGCCACAAAGTCACATATTGTATGATTCAGTTGCTTATCACTGAAATGACAAAATTTGGAAGTGGAGTTGAGACTTACTGAGTGGGAAATAGCAGCTGACATGAGCAATCAATCCCCAAACTGAAAACCGCACTGGGCTGAGTGACACCTTCAAGCTCACCGAGATGCAGTGTCTCTGTTAGGTGCCTGAGCAGCATGAGAATGTGGTGTCATGTGATGCGGGACATGGAGAGGAGGTCTGCGAGCTCCAAGCCAGTCTGGGCTGTTTAGCAAGACCCTGTGCAGCACAAAGAGGAGGGATCAACCAGACAGTGTATCCGAGCTTCACGCTGTAATGCATTGTGGTCATCTACGAAGTTCACTCAGAAGAACTGTGCAATTGAATTACCCCTCAACACACACACACTTACATTCACACACATGCGGACAATCTTATAATACTTTTAAGTGAGTTTATAATTCTGTATTAGTCACATTCATAGTTATCTTTGGACAAACATGACACCCGGGCCATGGGCTTGATACCCCTGACATAATTCAGTCCCAGCAGCTGACTTTCCTCAGGGAAACTTGAGGTAACCATTCCGAAGGTAGTCACAGTGACGGCACAAAACTTTCAAGCCCATCGTTCTCAACTGCTCTGAGAGGCATCTCAGAAACAGAAGTATAATCTTAGTGATTCCTGGTCGTCCTTCCTATCTAGACACAGCACACACATAAAGACCTCAGAGTCCAAGACAAGAAAGTTAGGGTTATTTGATTATTTAGGACTAAAGAATTTAAATCAATTTCCATTCTACTATTGGGAGTAAAGTATCTTGAAGACAAAGGTTCTGTGACCTCTTCATCATGGTCATTATTAGTATTGTGTAAGGAACCCAACTGGTGCCCACAAAGGCTTCTCTGAAATACAACATGAGTCACGAATGAGTTACATAAAAGAGTTTTGAAGATCAAAGCTGGAGACGTAGCTTAATGGTAGAGTCCTTGCTTAGCAAGCCCTGGATTTAATCTCCAGCAACACCCGCTCCCCAATACTGAAGAGGAAAACCGCAGCACACAAGGTAATATGTGACATCAGGCCTTAAGCTGTGTGCTGGCTCCTTCTCTCCACGGTTGTTTTCCTTGAGTGTTGAGAACAGCTGTCATAGGTGTCCTTCTCACTGTAGCCACTGGTAGTCGGTAAAGTCACAGACTTTGTGTTGGGTGATGGAATCTAAACAGAGGGGAGAAAAAGACAGCCTGACAGTTAAGATAGCTGGTTGCAACACAGGTAATCCTCTTTATGTCTTATAAAATGACAGCTGAAATGTCTCAAATGTTTCAGGACTGGGCAGAGTCCCATTTGTCCTCAGAGTACACCAAACTTTAAAAGTAAAATAAAATAGAGCAAAGTAATTACTTCATGATTATAAGATGTACCAGTCATAGGGAGAGCTAGGTCAGCACAGAGTGGTGGCCACAAACCCTCTGCGATGGCTGGGATATGTCATGTTCCACAGGTCAGAGCTGAAAGCTCAGTTTCCACCTAGTGGTTGCTGGAGCCTAGCAGAGGAAGTAAGTGTCTGAGGTGGGTCCCTGGCTGGATCTTGCCCTGGTTCCCTCTCCTCTCTCCCTGTCCTTCCCAGCTGCCACAAGCTGCTTTGCTCTGCAATGTACAGCCCTAATCATGATGCTTTGCCCACCAATGGCTCCCAAATAGTAGAACCAGTCAACAGTGCACTAAGATTGCTGAACTGAGGGCTACGATAGTCTCTCATTTTTCTCAGGTCTTTGGTCACAGGAATAAAAGTTACGACAAATATACTATCATTTGTCAATACTAAGAAGCTTACTACCCACAACTGTCTTCCTACTCTAACGAGAACAGAGGAACACAGCAGACTGCGGTACTCGCTGGCTGGCAAGCTTAATTAGGGTGATTACATTGTCTCCCATCACAATCGCATCATCAAACATGGCGTCTAAGGGCCTTGAAGTGATGGTAATGAAAGATGGACAGCCATGACGGTTGTGTGGAACAGGGAGGAAAGGGGCTTCATTCTAGAAATTAAAAAATGAAGGGGAAGTAGAAGAAATAAAAAAGCTCATCTTAGTTTTAGTTTAAGAAAGTGTCCGAGAATTTACCTGCTACTTCCTGTACAGATAAGCCTCCATAGAAGAGTGTGAACTGGTGAGGGATTCCCTGGTGGGCTTGGCTTCAGAGGGGAGGAACACACTGAGTAGGTGCATATATGTGCACTTGTGAACACACGCGTGCGCACACACACATTATTATGTATGGTAAAGACAACTGTCAGTATGGGCACACCCATCAGTCTACTGTGCAACGCTGAAGGAGTCCTTACGGTTTATACCTTTGTCTGAGCTTGTCAGGCCGCATTATGTTTTTGTTGCTGTATTTGTTTTTGCCTTTTCTTGTATACACCTGTGCCAGGTAAAAGCTACTGTCTTCTTTATGTGTTTACATTAGATTGACATTTCGTTTAATTGTACCTGGGTTTTGAGCCACAGGTGAAGATATGCTCTCTGTATCCGGTCTATAGAGTAATTCAGTCATATTTCCATTCAGCTTGTAGGAGCTCTCTGGAGCTCTTTCAGTTTTACACAACGAATCTTACAGGACCACTTTATAAGGCCTCTCGGGGGGTGGGGGACACCTGTAAAAGGATGCCTCTTTCTACTTAATTTGAAAGTTCAATATAATCAAAACTTCCAAGTTTTATAAAAAGGAAATTAATATATCGACTCTAACACAGGAATATGGATTTGAAAAGAAGAACCAGGTGATAAAAATGACTGACTTGTTGTAATTATAGCAGTAAGTCCAATGCGGTTTGCACAGAACACATAGAACACTGCAGGAAAACATGCAATGAACCGTGTAAAGGGACTGAGTGAAAGGGAGCATTGCATATCAGGGCAAAAGGGCAGGCAGACACCGACAAGCCCTGTCCCCCCAGTCCCTCACAGTGACTAAGCTACAGGCACAGCAGCTCCAGACAGGAGGAACACTACCGTAGCCATCACTATCGTTACTCAGCTTTATGAGATCCAGGTTGTACAAGAACCCAATACTCCTGCCTCCTCCTCTCAACTGCGTCACCAGTACACAGCTAAGAATTTTATGTAGGAAAGATGTAGTAGATGCCCTTGAAACTGAGGCAACAGCTCTGTCTCACTTCTGTTCTCCTTAGCTTTTTCATTCTTAAAACCAAAATCTCTAACCTCCACACCCGCCATGCTCTTTAATAGGTCCTGGCACACATCTAGGGCAAGCACAGTTTTCTAACCACACTCCTGTGTGGTCTTACAGTTGAAGCACGGGGCCACTATGCTGCCAACACTAGTGTTTTGTGGCATGGAGGACAAATCTATTTAACTGAAATTTGGTAGCTGGTGATGACACTGTGCCAGCTCAAGAGCACCGGGGACTAGGCTTTCTCTTTGCCTGTCCAAGGTCCAGAAGGAAGCTCAGTGGCCATGCACACAAACTCACTCAGTTGGGCATCTCCTCTTCTTCACTGTGGGAAGAGTATTACCTAAGTCTCTGGGGACAGTCATGTAGCAGGGACTCAGGTTGTGGACGTCCCTGTCTCAGTGCATCTTAGCTATGGTGATGGAACACCATGACTAAAAGCAGCATGGTGAGGAAAGGGCTTCTTTTGCTTATGTGTCCACATCACTATTCATCGTTGAAGGAAGTCAGGACAAGAAACTCGAGCATGACAAGAACCCCGAGGCAGGAGCTGATGCAGAGGTCATGGAGGCATCTGTTTACTGACTTGCTCTCTATGGCTTGCTCAACCTTTTTTCTAGTACCCAGGAGCACCAGTCCAGGGATAGCACAAGCCACAATGGGCTGAGTCCTACCTGTCAATCACTAATGAAGAGAATGCCTTTGCTTGTCTTTAACCAAGTCTTACGGAGGCACTTTATGAACTGGGGTTTCCTCCTCTTAGATGACTTTAGCTTGACTCAGACTGACATAAAAACTAGCCAGACAGTCCCCAAGGCACGTTCCCCTGCATAGCTTTTGCATGGTGACCTCAGCTCTCTGAGGTCAGTGGAACCAGTGCCACAGATCTCTCCTGCTGTCTGGCTATCCCTAGGCTTCTCTTCCATGTGCCGAAACAAACTTTTCTCTTTCAGCACCGTTCCCCAAAACTTGCTTGTTAGGACTCCACTTGTGGCTGTTTCGGAATTCAAGTCTAGGGGTGACTACCATTCTTCATTTCTCATACATCCTGTGGCAACCACAGAAATGTCAATTAGATGTGATCTGACAACAGCATGGCTCTATGGCTATCAACCTAGCACCCTGAACCACCCTTGCTGATCAGCTGAGCACCCGGGGCCAGGATCCTTATCACTCCCACCACAACCTCCCTTTCCACAGAGCTTTCCCACTTGCATTCCACAACATCCACACCTCTAGGCCCTGAATGGGCAGCTGGTTTTCAGGTCTCATTCCCTCCCTTGTTCTTCTCTTCTTCCTTTCAGTCACCCAGACTGCTCCTCCTGACTGAAGCACCTAGCACCTCCAGGCAAGGACACAGGTCTTTCTAGCCCCCCCACTCCTTATTCAGTCTTTGGCTCCAGAGCAGCTCTCAGCAAGGATCTCGCCTGCTTCACTTCATTCCTGCACCCCATCATCTTCTTCAGAGTATCTGCCAATACCATTGTTTGAATCTGTTTTCTGTCTTTCTCTAAGCCTATGACTGTGTCTTTCTTGTCAAGTATTACATACATATGTAGTGCCTAGAATAGGCTCAGCTCACACGCAGTGCAAAGTATCTTTTCACCGTACAATGGATGAAACTTGACGCTGTGTGTGTGTGTGTGTGTGTGTGTGTGTGTGTCTGTGCGCGCACGCGTGCGCGTTTGTACATGCCACGCACACTCGAGGCAGCCAACACTGACTGGCAACTCAATAAGTCATAGTCACCTAGTAGACAAGTCTCTGGCTTATCTGTGAAGTTTCTGGGTTGGATTAACTGAAGTGGGAAAATGTGAAAGGCATCATTCCATGGGCTTTGGTCCTGGACCGAGAAGAAAAGAGAAAGTGAGGTGAGCAGCGGGTCTCATCTCCTGCTGCCTGGCTGAGGATGAAACGTGCCCACTGCCTTGTGCCCTGCCTCCATGACTGTGGATAAAATGTGCCTGCTGCCTCGTGCCCTGGGTCTGTGACTGTGGATAAAACCTTCCAGCTGCCTCGTGCCCTGAATCTGTGATTGTGGATGAAATATGTCCGCTGTTTTGTGCTTTGTCTCTCTGTGACTGTGGATGAAAGGTGCCCGCTGCCTCATGCCCAACTCTGTGACCTCCAACCGTGATGGGCTTCATTCTAAACTGTGAGCAGAATAAACCCTTCCTTCCTTTCTGAAGTTGTTATTATCTGACATTCTGTCACAGCAAAGAGACAAATAACTCATTCTTATTCTTCATGGAAAGTGTTTGGCCTCAGAAACTTCCACTCAGCTCTGATACTGCCCAGAGCTCCCCCGAGCCTGGCACCTCTCTGAGAGTGTCCTGAGAACTTAACCATGGGCAACACAGTCTGCCCTTGCCCACCACTCACAGGGCTTCTCCTTGCTGTCCTGGACATGGGAATAAAATGATTTATCACAAGGCCACCCCAGTGTTCTCTATCTTATAATTATCACAGGGTCTGCTATCGATCTCAGTGACGGATTTTGGGATGTTCAACTTTGCTGACTTAGCTGTGGCAGTTTCTTGCTTCTACCGGATGCGCCTATATAGACAGCTGCACCATGTAAAGATGGTTTCTCATCCTGTAAGCCTCCACCCCCTTTCCCACTTACTTGACTGGCCACTCTAGAATACTGCTGAAGGGTAACAGCCTTGCTGTGCTTCTTACACCTGACCTGAATCTTACACAAAGGTCCTCACTATTAAAAAAACTTGCCATAGTTATTTCTTAAGATACCATGAGCAGGTTAAAAGGCCCCTAACTGCTCCTGATTCTTGAGGCATTTTGTCATGGGTAGATGCTCAGTTATCTTTCATGCTGTTCAACACAACTGGGCAAACAAGAGATGAAGAAAACCATGCTACTTATTTTCTCATATTTGTAGGCTGATCCGTGGTTATGCACACTATGAAATTTGATTCACTAAGATTTTATTTTAGGTTTTTGATATCCACGTTGCCAAAATGAGTGATTATATTTAGATCAGTAGCCTTGAAAAATAG